ACTTTTTATAATAATGGGTAAACTTATTTGAAGTGTTTGTATTACTTATAAGTAATCATTTTTATTTTACTATTGAGTTTTACATATACATATACCACTAGGATTGCATTAAGTAATATTATATGTATATATGATATTTTCGTTATCGTAAAAATATATGACAGAGCATGAAAGGAAATGTTTGATTTGGAGCTTCGATAATTTTGTCATTTAATTTTAAGTTTGATTTGCGTTTGATAATTATTGAAAGCGTTTTTGATCATTTTTTTGTACATCTATTCAAGTATTTGTAGAAGTGTATATAGATCATTTATATATTTTCCTGATCTATATACACTTCTACAAATACTTCAACTAAGTACGTACGTATTCAATCCGTTTGAAAATTGAACGACATAAACTGCATTCAAACATAAATCAAAGAAACTTCAAAATAAAAATACGATATAACAAGAGCGTTTGATGATAATCATAATGATTATGACTTATTTAGTACTAAATTCAATCAGTCAGAATTTAAGAATACATAAACGAAGAAGAAAGCCTGTTTTTGTAATTTAACTAATGTTTTGTCTAACTTAAATTCAATAATCTGAAATAACGAAAAATGAATAAAATTGCTGTGTTTAGACTATGCTGTTAAAAAAGGTTGAAACTAACTCACTATAAAATTTTAAGTTAACTCCTAAAGCGTAATTTTTAGTTAACTCCTAAGAAATAATTATAAGCGCGTCATATTTTATATTAGGATTTAAAGTTCATTTAATGTACAGGAACTTAAGTACAGTGTCAGAGGCATTTAAGACAAAACAAGAAATAGAACTTGTAGAAGGGGATGCTACAAAATTGGATAATGTTAAAAATTTGCTTAACGGTGTTGAAGGAGTGCGTTATTTTAGGAACCCGAAATAATTTGGAGCCAACTACGGAAATGTCAACCGGAACTCAAATTGTTGTTGAGGCAATGAAAACATTAAACCTAAAGAAATTTTCAGTAATAATGTCTTCGTTTCTTTTTTGGGAGTACAAAAGGAGTGCTTGAAATTACTAAAAACTCTGGTTTAGACTTTGTGGCCATATTACCTCTTCATATATCTCATGAATCCTATACAGAAGTTGAAATTACTGAAAACAAATCACCAAAGTATAGTTCCAAAGATCAATCTTGTTAAATTTATAGTGGAAAGTTTGGGGTATAGGCAAAACGGCATAATTTTTGTATTTGCTTAAAATATTAAAATAACCAGTTTTGAAAATAAAGTTTTTGATAAATTTTGTGGGTAATGTGTTCAATAGAACGACATTAATGGGTCATTAATTAAAGCAATTTTTGGAGATCATACATACATGTTTCTGTTATTTTAATCAAAATCATTTCACATTAGTTACATGTGAAACACATACCTGTGTTAATAGTTATACCTTTTCAACTACTTGGTTAACTTCCACGCAAATTTTAATTTTCAGGGCCTAGTGAAACAAGTGAAATCAATTTTTAAACTTTAACATAAATGGATGGTATGTTTATACATACATATGTAAATATGAACACTTTTTATAATAATGGGTAAACTTATTTGAAGTGTTTGTATTACTTATAAGTAATCATTTTTATTTTACTATTGAGTTTTACATATACATATACCACTAGGATTGCATTAAGTAATATTATATGTATATATGATATTTTCGTTATCGTAAAAATATATGACAGAGCATGAAAGGAAATGTTTGATTTGGAGCTTCGATAATTTTGTCATTTAATTTTAAGTTTGATTTGCGTTTGATAATTATTGAAAGCGTTTTTGATCATTTTTTTGTACATCTATTCAAGTATTTGTAGAAGTGTATATAGATCAGGAAATCCCATTAGAAGAAACGTTTAACCTGCAAACATTTTGTAAGCATTTACGATCTATATACACTTCTACAAATACTTGAATAGATGTACAAAAAAATGATCAAAAACGCTTTCAATAATTATCAAACGCAAATCAAACTTAAAATTAAATGACAAAATTATCGAAGCTCCAAATCAAACATTTCCTTTCATGCTCTGTCATATATTTTTACGATAACGAAAATATCATATATACATATAATATTACTTAATGCAATCCTAGTGGTATATGTATATGTAAAACTCAATAGTAAAATAAAAATGATTACTTATAAGTAATACAAACACTTCAAATAAGTTTACCCATTATTATAAAAAGTGTTCATATTTACATATGTATGTATAAACATACCATCCATTTATGTTAAAGTTTAAAAATTGATTTCACTTGTTTCACTAGGCCCTGAAAATTAAAATTTGCGTGGAAGTTAACCAAGTAGTTGAAAAGGTATAACTATTAACACAGGTATGTGTTTCACATGTAACTAATGTGAAATGATTTTGATTAAAATAACAGAAACATGTATGTATGATCTCCAAAAATTGCTTTAATTAATGACCCATTAATGTCGTTCTATTGAACACATTACCCACAAAATTTATCAAAAACTTTATTTTCAAAACTGGTTATTTTAATATTTTAAGCAAATACAAAAATTATGCCGTTTTGCCTATACCCCAAACTTTCCACTATAAATTTAACAAGATTGATCTTTGGAACTATACTTTGGTGATTTGTTTTCAGTAATTTCAACTTCTGTATAGGATTCATGAGATATATGAGGAGGTAATATGGCCACAAAGTCTAAACCAGAGTTTTTAGTAATTTCAAGCACTCCTTTTGTACTCCCAAAAAAGAAACGAAGACATTATTACTGAAAATTTCTTTAGGTTTAATGTTTTCATTGCCTCAACAACAATTTGAGTTCCGGTTGACATTTCCGTAGTTGGCTCCAAATTATTTCGGGTTCCTAAAATAACGCACTCCTTCAACACCATTAAGCAAATTTTTAACATTATCCAATTTTGTAGCATCCCCTTCTACAAGTTCTATTTCTTGTTTTGTCTTAAATGCCTCTGACACTGTACTTAAGTTCCTGTACATTAAATGAACTTTAAATCCTAATATAAAATATGACGCGCTTATAATTATTTCTTAGGAGTTAACTAAAAATTACGCTTTAGGAGTTAACTTAAAATTTTATAGTGAGTTAGTTTCAACCTTTTTTAACAGCATAGTCTAAACACAGCAATTTTATTCATTTTTCGTTATTTCAGATTATTGAATTTAAGTTAGACAAAACATTAGTTAAATTACAAAAACAGGCTTTCTTCTTCGTTTATGTATTCTTAAATTCTGACTGATTGAATTTAGTACTAAATAAGTCATAATCATTATGATTATCATCAAACGCTCTTGTTATATCGTATTTTTATTTTGAAGTTTCTTTGATTTATGTTTGAATGCAGTTTATGTCGTTCAATTTTCAAACGGATTGAATACGTACGTACTTAGTTGAAGTATTTGTAGAAGTGTATATAGATCAGGAAAATATATAAATGATCTATATACACTTCTACAAATACTTGAATAGATGTACAAAAAAATGATCAAAAACGCTTTCAATAATTATCAAACGCAAATCAAACTTAAAATTAAATGACAAAATTATCGAAGCTCCAAATCAAACATTTCCTTTCATGCTCTGTCATATATTTTTACGATAACGAAAATATCATATATACATATAATATTACTTAATGCAATCCTAGTGGTATATGTATATGTAAAACTCAATAGTAAAATAAAAATGATTACTTATAAGTAATACAAACACTTCAAATAAGTTTACCCATTATTATAAAAAGTGTTCATATTTACATATGTATGTATAAACATACCATCCATTTATGTTAAAGTTTAAAAATTGATTTCACTTGTTTCACTAGGCCCTGAAAATTAAAATTTGCGTGGAAGTTAACCAAGTAGTTGAAAAGGTATAACTATTAACACAGGTATGTGTTTCACATGTAACTAATGTGAAATGATTTTGATTAAAATAACAGAAACATGTATGTATGATCTCCAAAAATTGCTTTAATTAATGACCCATTAATGTCGTTCTATTGAACACATTACCCACAAAATTTATCAAAAACTTTATTTTCAAAACTGGTTATTTTAATATTTTAAGCAAATACAAAAATTATGCCGTTTTGCCTATACCCCAAACTTTCCACTATAAATTTAACAAGATTGATCTTTGGAACTATACTTTGGTGATTTGTTTTCAGTAATTTCAACTTCTGTATAGGATTCATGAGATATATGAGGAGGTAATATGGCCACAAAGTCTAAACCAGAGTTTTTAGTAATTTCAAGCACTCCTTTTGTACTCCCAAAAAAGAAACGAAGACATTATTACTGAAAATTTCTTTAGGTTTAATGTTTTCATTGCCTCAACAACAATTTGAGTTCCGGTTGACATTTCCGTAGTTGGCTCCAAATTATTTCGGGTTCCTAAAATAACGCACTCCTTCAACACCATTAAGCAAATTTTTAACATTATCCAATTTTGTAGCATCCCCTTCTACAAGTTCTATTTCTTGTTTTGTCTTAAATGCCTCTGACACTGTACTTAAGTTCCTGTACATTAAATGAACTTTAAATCCTAATATAAAATATGACGCGCTTATAATTATTTCTTAGGAGTTAACTAAAAATTACGCTTTAGGAGTTAACTTAAAATTTTATAGTGAGTTAGTTTCAACCTTTTTTAACAGCATAGTCTAAACACAGCAATTTTATTCATTTTTCGTTATTTCAGATTATTGAATTTAAGTTAGACAAAACATTAGTTAAATTACAAAAACAGGCTTTCTTCTTCGTTTATGTATTCTTAAATTCTGACTGATTGAATTTAGTACTAAATAAGTCATAATCATTATGATTATCATCAAACGCTCTTGTTATATCGTATTTTTATTTTGAAGTTTCTTTGATTTATGTTTGAATGCAGTTTATGTCGTTCAATTTTCAAACGGATTGAATACGTACGTACTTAGTTGAAGTATTTGTAGAAGTGTATATAGATCGCAAATGAAAGATCCTTACGTAGAAAAGGTAAATATATTTAAAACTATTTATCAAACGCTTTACTTACTTATTTTAGGCTAAACAAATGAATTATCGTTGTCGTTCTGCTTTTAAATTGTTAGAAATTGATAATAAATTTCATATTATTAGACCCGGGGAGGTAATTTTGGACATTGGAGCAGCTCCTGGGAGTTGGACGCAGGTTGCTGTAGAAAGAGCTAATTTAAGTGTTTTTAACAAAAAATTCAAGGGTGTAATTATTAGCGTTGATGTTTTACCATTTGAACCAATTGCCGTAAGTGAAATCAAGTTGATTTGAGTATGAAAGATAGCAATTTATTTTAGGGCGCAACAGCTTTAATTAGAGCAGATATAACTAAACTGGAAACTGTAGAAAAAATCAAGGGCCTTTTGGGGCCCCGCTTAGCTAACTGCATCCTTTCAGATATGGCACCTAACGCTACTGGAATTAAACATTTAGACCACGATAGCATCACTAACCTATGCTATCACGTTCTGAAATTATCATCACTAATATCTGAAGATGGTGGAAACATATTAATGAAAGCTTGGGACGGTGGAAACATAAGTAAATTAGAAAAAGAAATTTTGAAAACTTATGAAATTGTGCGAAGAATTAAACCGAAATCCAGTCGACAAGATTCAGCTGAAATATATTTGTTAGGACAACATTTTAAAAGGCAACATGTGTTATAAAATTTAATCATAGCTTAAAATGTTTATTAAAAATTTATTTTTTGAGAATGTACATTTTTGGTATGTTTTAACAAACCACTTAAAGACTGATAGCATTTTCCGCAATTTTTACATTTATGTGGCTTCACCCCATAATGAGTATTGACGTGGGTTGCTAGGTATTCTTTTCTTTTGAATTCTTTGTTGCAAATGAGACACACAAATTCATATACATCAGAATGAATTTTCTGATGGCGTTTTAAGTCTCCGGATTTCGTAAATGCTCTGCTACATATTTGGCAAGAATGTGGCCGTATGTTGGAATGAATTAACATATGAATATCAACATGTGCACGACGTGTAAACCTATAATTCGAAAATCATTATTTTGCTAATAGTGAAAATTATAGCTTACTTTTTTTTACAGAGATTACATTCAAATTTTTTTTCTGTAGAATGTACGGTGTCATGTTGCCTTAAGCTTGAATTTCTAGTAAACTTTGCTCCGCATTTATCACACTGTATATTTTTTGACTTCTTTGTTTTCTTCCCTATATTTTCTATTTCTAAATGGCAGCTAAAAGAATTTTCGTCTAAATTATCATTAAATAACTCCTGCTTTTCATTGAAATTAAGCTGTCCATTTTCAATCCCTTTGTCTTTTTTCTCATAGATGTCCAAATAGCACAGGAATTTTTTGTTGTCACCTGGATCATCTATTTTTATTAAATCACAAAGTGAACCTGATTCTTCTTCATTTGTGCTATACATTTCAGTAGCAACACTGTTTGTTTCACAAATTTCATCATAGCTTCGCGAAGTGTTTTCTGTTAAATCATTTACATTAACAAAATCGTCTCTCGCATTGCCATTCTCACATTCTTCTATGTATTCTATGTTATTATTTGAGCTTTTCATTGATTTGATGTCATTGTGTTTGAAAATGTTTTGCAATTTTTTATAGGACGCTGTAACTTTTTGTTTAAATTTATAAAATAAAACCAACTTTGAAGAACATTCTTTACAAATTCCCTGAGGATATTCAATACTATTAGTTTTCTCATAATCGTTATTTGTGACAGAAAAAAGAATATCTATCCACTTTTTATTAGGTAAATAGGAATCTGAATTTAAATCAAGCTCTCTATCTTGCAGCAAACATAAACGACATAAACTTTGTAGTCGACATTTATAAATATCCTCGTATTGAGAAGCATTTTTTAAAATTCCTTGTGCCATCAATCAATGCTTAAAGCGTCCTTTTCGTCACAATAGAACAATAAATTTATTGTTTATGATTATTAAGAATTTAAATTTCTTAAATTTAGTTTTTTAAGAACTATTTTATTTATCTTGTCTGAAGTGTCACTCATGGTCGAAAAATTTACAAGTGTGGTGTATTTTCCTGATGACGTCAAATTCAAAATTTATAAAATTGGAGGCCAGTTTTTACAGAATGGTGTTACAAATTTTTTTTAGTTTCGTAATATTTTTTTAAGTTTGCATAGTTGTAGCGTAACTTAAAAAATTATTCCACATAAAGAGGGAAGGAAAAATTAAATATATGTGTGAATTCGATAGAAAAGTGAGTATCGAGTATATCTTCTACATTATCGCATGCCAATATAAATCAATTTTTCGTAATAGCTCGAATTATTCGATAAAGGATTTTCGGTAAAGGGTTCCTATCCCTACATTTTAATCATTTGGTTGATTGCAGATGTTTAACGTTTCTGAAAGGTTGTTATCTGATTCTTGTTCTAGTATTCCAAACTGACAGCAAATAATGAAAGTATAAACACTTCAATAGTAATATAAATTATAAATTGATTTAAATTGTCTATCAAGCTAAATTAATACTTAATAGACAGAATATATTTTATAATAATAAAATAGTTAACGATCGCAAACTATTTGGTTGTGCATACATGCAAATGCTTGGATATAGCAAAAAAGATCGAATCAAAAACGATAGTGTGCAAAATACAAATTTCTAATTAAATTTAACAAAATACGTAATTTTATAATTTAAAATGGTTGACGTTCAACAATTCCTACCTCTAATAAGTATTTCGTGTGGAGTGCTAAATGTTTTAATATTAAAGTAAGTCGGACTTGTTTATTAAAAATTTTGAAGATGTTGAATTTTAGGTGGTCAGATATTCTGGAAGCTGAAGACGTTTCAGGAATAAAACGTCGTTTTTATCACCCGTTTTTACAAGTTATAATAATGTTTCTTGGGCAAATTTTATGTTTAGTTGTATACAAAGCATTATTCATTATACTAAGACGCAGAGGTGTAAGTATTTTGTCAAGAATAAAAAATACTTACATATCTTTGAATATACTTAAAGGATAATTCGGAAAATCTTAATTTCTTAACATCCGGGAATAGAAACTTTTCCCCGTCGATATTTATTTTGCCTTCTCTATGTGACATGGTAGCCTCAACAATGCTTCTAATTGCACTTAATTTCACAAATGCGTCTAGCTGGCAAATATTACGAAGTATGTTTGGGTACAATTTTCAATTATAATATGTATAAACTTACCAAACAAGGTAGGTTTATACATATGTAGATTAAATTATAGAAGTTTACACAACTTACACTTCTAATTTTTTCAGGTGCATCTTTAATTTTTGTGAGCCTATTTGGTGTTATTTATCTTAGTCAAAGTTTAAAAATATATCATTGGATAGGGATTTCAATGGTTATTATTTGTGTTATTATTGTTATATTAACTGATACCGTTAATCCAGTTTTGTATGATTCGAAAGCAGTTTTAACTAGTGATCTTCTTGTTATATGTTCACAAATATTCCAAGCACTGCAAAATGTGTACGATGAAAAATATGTTAAAAGTTTAGATATAACACCAATCCAAGCTGTGGGCTGGCAAGGGGTTTTTGGATTTCTTCAGAGTTTATTCTTATTAATTCCACTTCACTTTATAAAAATTGACCCGCCATTCAACAACAACTCAAATGGTTCAATGGAATTTTTACCCGATGCATTTCACCAGTTCTTCAACTCTGGTACTTTGATTTTAGCTCATCTAATATTTTTGTTATCTGTTGCGTTGCATAACTACGCTGCTGTAGCTATTTTGAAAAGTACATCATCCAGTAATAGGGTTATAATTGACATTTTCCGCATTCTTCCAATTTATTTAATATCTGTGTTAATTGAAAGAGAAATGCTTGGCGTGTCTACAGTGATTGCCTTCTTAATATTATTAAGCGGGATTTTCACCTATAAAAATATAGTTTTTTCACAGATATATGTATGGTTTTTGAGAAAATTAACGCGTCGCAGATATGAAGACATAGAGAATGAAGAAAATGTGATAAGCTCTCCTGCTGATAGCGCCGACATATAGCTTAATCGACTTAATCAACGTTTTGACTTATCATACAGTGACCTTTATAGTAAAATTTTGGGAAAGTTTTAAAATAAATAGACTGATTTTATCAAGTAAAATAAACCCAGTTTAATGTTTTTTGAATATATGTAGATATATTGATTAATAGTTTACAGGATAATTTTGCAATTCCGTCAAGACCAAAAGATGTACACATTTTCTTCCTAAAAATTAGCAGTTATTAGAATTCATAAATTTTGTTTTAAAGCAAAATTTTACTCGAAGGGCATCAGAATAATAAAAGGAAAACTAAACCACCTACGTGTCTACGCTAAATTGCGTTTTTTTTATTTTTCTCCAAATTGAACGTAAGTTATAAAACAAGAATAATTTGCAAGATTTTACTAAGTCCCGTGTTTACACCAGTTTTTTTGCTTCGAAAAAGCTCTTGAGATGTCTCATTTGCCAGAAACCCATACAGAGAAGCACGACTGTTTGAGCAATGGACCACCATAAGACTCTAGAATTCGTGCTTTCGCTTGTTTGTCTAAACCTTTCTTCTCTGTAACGTTGATAATTTTGCTCTTTTGTAATTTGTTCAACTTGATCTAATAACTGGCGTATTCTTAACTGAAGCTCTGTTAGTTTTTCTTTTTGAGCTACATTTGCGTAATCAATGGCATGTTCCCCAACTTGAATATCTAAATGCACTCGCAATTGTGATCCACTAAACCATGCTGTGCTGTTCGAGTACATACAGATGACATGTTCTCCAGGCGTATGAGAGGTGAACGAAATTCGTCCTTCAGAACTATAGACTCGAGATAATATTATTTTATCATCACTGTCACGTACCTCGACATGCATTCCAATCCCAGGGGATGAAGGCATAAATCCGCCTGATTTCGGATCGTATAATTCGACCTTGTAATTAACTAAAAATATATATGAAATTATTTATAACGACTTTCGACTTTTATACGAATTGAAAAACAAATCTAACAGCTATACAACCATCAGTACAAATATAATTTATAAAATGAAAAACCTATAACTGTAGTCTCATCTGGAACTTCTTCTATAAAACATTTTCTTTCAGTTTCAGCTATATGAAAGTATAATCCAAACGAAAAATGAACACAGGTAATGAAAGTTAAAATTCCAAAAAAACAACTCATTTTCATATAATACTATTTTCTTTAACGCACAAAAAAAAAATTAAGAATTTTTCTATTGCGAATGCCGATATTATTACATACATTTAACTAAACACGTCACATAATATTTAAGAGAACGTCAAAAAGCACATATGTATATACATATCAAAAATTTTTTTCAATAAATATAAATGCAATAAGGCTGGCCAGATAATTTAAATATTTTTTTTGCAAATGGCGTATTTGCATTTGTGTTACATATAAATGAACAAATAGTCAACTAAGTTTGTTTAGAAGGAACACTTTTCTGTACACATCTAAATTTCAAAATGCCTTCACGTGACAGAATTTTATTTTAACTTACTTTACAAAGCAAAAGCAAAGTTCTCGTAGTGTGTTTTTTTCAATAAAAATTATTATTATTTTAATTCTTTGACAAGTGCTTGCTTTAAAATATATCTTATCAAAAAATAAATCAATTATTTATAAATAAAATTATTTTAAGATTTTAATTTATTAAGAAATGTTTAATTTTATAAATTAAGAATATTTTAATAAATGAGTTTTTAGATATGCGTGCATTTGTATGAAAGTGCAGCTAGTTTTTTACATAGGACTTTGAAGTCTATCAGATGTTAAGCTGATAAGAACAGATACTACACTTTTATTTTAGCCATAAGGCCGAGAAGCGATTTTTTTACATAGGACTTGAAGCTCAAAACTGCATAGGCCTCATAGTGGTGGGCCCCTGTAATGGCGGAGGATAAAGGGGTGATTGAAACGATCAAAGTTAAGTTCGTGTCGTGGTCATGTCTCGCGGCGAGCCCCTTGCTTTGTGAATTTCAGCCCTATATAAGTCGTTAGTATATGGACTCTGGATACCAGGCGCCCTCCAGTTTAAACGAGCCTTCCCATGGTATGTCGGGCTCTGCCATGGTTGACTATACTTTCCCGCGCTACCCGTGGGAACAAAATGGAGAATGTAAACAGTAACAACAACAGCAACAGCAAGAACAACAACTGTGACAAATACAACAACTGCAACAACAACAACAACAACAATAGCAACAGTGACAATTACAACAACAACAACAATACTAAGGACAAAATCATCACAAACACAGTTAGTGCTCAAGGGCCTGCGGAACCAGAGCTTCTCAAAAGTTTTCTCAAAGAGAGAAAAGCACAACCCTCAAAAAAGGGGTCGATGAAGGGCAACGTTGAGGTAAAGGTCCCTGGGAGCATTCCTCAACAAAACCCGAAAATGACTTCTTATCGGGATGCAGTAGCACAGGTCAAAGTGGCCATCAGTCATAGACTGCATCCAGAGGAAAGGCTATTCGAAGTCCAGATGTGGAAAATCAAAGTAGCCATCATGGATAAAATGGATAAAGTTATGGATTCTCATCCACAATTCACTGCAGCGTTGCAAAGGGATGGATGGATATCCGTAACATGCAACAATTTAAATACCAGGGCGTGGATAACCAGTGTCTGCAGGAAGATAAAGCCTTGGGACGGTTGCAACGTCCTGGTACTGGATGGAGACGATATACCCAAACAGCATGTCTACGTCACCTACGCGCCAAAGGACGAGACAACCCTCAGTCTCCAGGGACAAATTCCTAAGTAGCATAGGGAAGCAAAATCCCAGCCTCAAGATGAGTTCCTGGAGGATGCTGAGGATGGATAAGGAAAAGGACGGGGACTGCTCCATCACCTTTTTCCGTGGATGATTCCGAAGATCAACGGAAAGTGGAGTTCCGACTTTTCCTGAACTTCTTCCGTGTTACCGTTCGGATTAAAGGAAGGAGGTTCTCTCAGGGTGCTGGCGGCCGGGCAGGACAAAATAAAAAACCAACGCCCACCGCGACAACCACGAGCACTTCAGGCCAACCACAAGAGTCAAAACTCATTTGAAAGTCATAAGTCGCTCCGAAAACGGCGGAAACGGAAGGACCATCGACCAGCGCCCATTGCCATTGGGAAGCCCGGAACTGCTTCGGTATTTGCTGTTGGAGGGGCTAATGTGGCACCTAGGATGGCAAAAGAGGTTGTGGCAGGCCAGGCACCCACCAAGATGCGTAAAAAGGCGGCGATGAAAAGCAAGGCTCATGCAAAGCCTTTGTCTAAAGAGACAAAGCCCATAGACAAGAGCCGGAGGAAATAATATGGCTGTGAGGTGCATCCAAATAAATCTAGAGCATGCTAGGGCATCTACTGATGTTCTAGCTCATAGATTTATGAAGGATAACCTCGATATCGCTCTTACCCAAGAGCCTTACATAGTGAAGGATCAGGTTAAGGGCCTAACAGGTGAACTATTTTATGATAATACAATTGGGGGCAGGCCTAGGGCTTGCATTTTGTTTAGTTAAAGGCTAACGTATTTTCCCTTTCCAGATTACTGTTCTAAGGATCAGGTAGCTGCGTTGGTGAAGGTGAAGTCTTCCGGGGGTTGGACAGAGTTTATTGTGTACTCATCCTACCTCCCGGGAGACTGTGCCCACCCAGACGAACAACTGAAAGATCTAGTGGACTTTTGTGGAAAGAGGAACTTCCAACTGATAATAGGAAGTGATGCCAACGCTCACCACACCGTCTGGGGAAGCAGTAATATAAACAAAAGAGATGAGTGCCTACTTGAATTTATATATAGCAATAAATTAATGGTTATGAATGAGGGCAACAGGCCGACATTCATAAATGCAATTAGGGAAGAGGTCCTTGACATCACCCTTTGCACTGAGTTTATCGGCAGTAGGGTTAGTGGATGGCATGTCTTAATTGAGACATCCATGTCCGATCATAGGCAGATTAGGTTTGATATCATGGTCTCCGGGGGCCTAGCAGAAGAAACGTATCGGGTACCCCAATCCATAGGTTGGAGTCAATTCGAAACACTCCTCATGGATGGGATTGGATCCATCCCTGCTTCTATCAGAACGGTGATGGATATCGAACAGGCCAACGAGGCTCTGACGGCGGCTATTACTAGTGCCTACCATGGAAGCTGCCGCGCTAAGCCGAGGCGGAGCAATAGGAAATGCCCGTGGTGGAATGAAGGGCTTTCAAGGCTTGACTAAAGACCAGAAAGCTATTCAATAAGTCCAAGGCGTCCGGTTCGTGGGAAGAATATAAAGACTCATTCACGAAATACAATAAAGAAATTAGGAAAGCGAAGAGAATTTCGTGGAGGGCGTTCTGCAAGGGCATTGATGAACTCTCCAGCAGTGCGCGTCTTCACAGGGTGCTTTCCAAAAAGTATGCTAGCGGGTTGGGCCTAATGGAACGGCCTGATGGCTCCATGACTGAGAACGGAAAGCAGACGTCGGAGCTTATGGCGTCAACGTACTTTCCTGACTCGGAGATTCTTCGGAATCACTCAAATGCGCTCATTGAACCGAGGGCATCCTGGCCCAGGAGTGATAACTGGCAACGATCCCGTCTGGTCTTCACGATGGGCAGGATTAGATGGGCTGTTTTCTCTTTCAGGCCCTTCAAATCTCCAGGTGATGACGGGACATATCCTGCATTTTTGCACAGGGGTTTCCAACATATTGCTAGAGCACTGTTGAAAATTTTTCGTGCCAGCTATGCGTGGTGTTACATCCCTCAGGCATGGAGGGTGGCTAAAGTGACGTATATTCCGAAGTCGGGTAAGCGACCAAGCAATCACCCAAGGTCTTTCCGTCCAATCAGCCTTACTTCTTTTCCATTGAAAGAGGGTGGTTAAAGTGACGTATATTCCGAAGTCGGGTAAGCGACCAAGCAACCACCCAAGGTTTTTCCGTCCAATCAGCCTTACTTCTTTTCTACGATGCACTGGGAAGTAATCCCTTGCATGAATCTCAGTACGCCTATCAGACGGGAAGGGCTACTGTATTCGCTCTGCAGAGTCTGGTGGGAGTCCTTGAAAACTGACTTTAGGTGCGGAAGGTGGCAGTTGGCTGCTTCCTTGATATAGAGGGAGCTTTTGACAACAACCCATATCATGTCATTTGTGAGTCATTGCACAAACGAGGGATTGATGCGACGACGAGCAGATGGGTTAATCGGATGCTACAAGATAGGACTATTAAGTCCACCATAGTTGACGAAACATTCTTCATCTCCGCAGGGCGGGGTTCTTTCGCCTCTCCTGTGGTCCATTGTAGTGGATGATCTAATTGCTGATCTTCTACTCGTATAAATTAAGTATACATATTTTCTTACTACAATACCTTACGGAGCTTGAAATTGAGCTATTTTTTTCGATATTTTGTACTGCGTTGGATATACACTTTGCTTGCAATACACTGTTGGTTGATGGCAATGATGTTAGCAAAAGATTTTTTTGACACATTGATGCAATGACGTTTCATTAATTTTTTGAATTTCGGATCCAAAGTATGTAACTCCAAAACTATGCCCTTTTTACCAAATTTTAATTAATATCTTGGTTATTACTCACTAAAGTAGGCAGTATATTGTCGTGTAGGGCAACGAATTAGAAATACTAAAGGATATCTTGAAAAAACAATGAAGCCAAATTTATTCCAGTTTTCTCTTTCTTTGTTCGGAGCATTGCAAAGTCGTAACCAAAGTATATCTACTAACAAGTAGTTCGACTCTCCGTTTACATCACACTAATGCAATCACTCACCAATATTTGTATACAAAAAATTCCCTTAGTTAAAAGAGTTAAGCAGTATACTTTCTTATTTTCATTTTTATACACATAAGAATTTTTGGGAGAGGGAAAGAGTACGCAATAGATGTCCACCTGTTTTTTTATAATGTAATTTTGAAACGCGACACTTTATTATTTGTTCCTATATAAAGTATAGGGAAAAATATTAAGAATTTTAAAAGCGACACAATAATTTCTGTAATTCATTCCAGTACAAGGTGGCAAATAATGTGTATTCATATTATAAAAGCGAAGCGGAAAAAAAGTGTTTAAAAAAAATTATTATTATTTATATGAAAAATAATAAAAATAAATTTTAAAAAGACGTATAATATTAAAAAAATTTTAAGTAGTTGTGAAAAAAAAAAATTTTTTTATAATAATGGGTAAACATTATTTGAAGTGTTTGGGATGAAAAAAAGCCGACACGAAAATTTCATTTGTTGCCAAAAGATGTGAAGAGGTAAATATATACTTTTGAAAATATTTTAAATTTTTAGTGTTAAGCATTTGTAATTAATAATTATTATTAATAAATAAAATAAATAAATTATTTTTACAATCTTAATAAATTTAAAACATATTTCCTATGAATCGGCAATGATTATATTTCATAAAGTGATCAGTATGCATACACCTTTTTTTCTTTATAAATTACTTTACTTCTATGTCACTACCTGATACTGTGAATCTACTGTACCAGGTACATGCATGTGTACATTCATACATGAAATTTCAAACTCTTTTGCTTTCATACATTCGAATATTTTACCTAACTTTAAAAAATGAAAAATAAATTTTGTCATTATCAAAACAAAAATAACAAAATTTTTACCTAACTTAATTTAATTTTATTTCAATTCAATGTTTTTGATACACTCGTTTGTTTACAATATTTTGTTTTTTTCTTGCCTACACAACTCTTATTACCATCTATTTCTAAAAAAAAATGGAATATTTTAAGAATTTGGAAGCAAGATGCAAATGAAAACTAACGGAATGGAACGAGTCGAATTACTTCTTAGTAGATATACTTTGGTCGTAACAAAAGCGTATTCATTTTTTTCTTTTTATTTCGCCGCTATTATAAAACATGTGTAATTTTTAAGAAGGATAAGTTAAAAATTTTTTTCAAAGTAAAAACTAAAAAAATATTTCAAAATATTTTGTCATTTTAAATATCTGTAGAAAAAAACTAAATTTAAACAAAACTCATTATTTTTTTTTTTGTTCTCTTTAAATAAATTTATTTTATGAATTAAAAAATTATAAATTTTGGTAAAAATATATGAAATGCGAACTTCTTTATTAATAATTCCATTCCACTTTCTTTTCATTCCATTACTTCTAGGATTAAAAAAAAAACCAAATTAAAATACTGTATGCATGCTATATTTTATCAAACACAAACTAATTTTGCTTATAAAAAAATCCGATTCTGATAAAAATATGTTATCCGAAGTAATTTTAATTTGAAACAAAACAAAAACTTTTGCAACATTAAACACTAAAATTATAAATTATGAATTAATCAAATCACTATAAAGTAAATATTTTTTTTAATTATTAAAATGAATACGAGTAGTATTGACATGTATATGGTGTAAAAAAAACTATTTGTTTTTACGAATGGGTATAACAATTTAAAACTATACACCTTTTTCTTTTTCTTTTTCACAGATTTTTTTTCATTTTTTCACTTGCTATATTTTTTTACAAGGTTTTATAAAATAGTATTCTTTTTTTAACACTTCTTATTAAATATTTTATAATTTTTTATTTACAAACTGCACTAATTTTGTAAACAAAATAAAAAATCTTTACTGCTTAGAATAAAACACAACAGGTTAATAGGTTAATTTCAGTTTGCCAATGCTTGGAACAAAAAAGAGACTTACCTGAAGTCTTCGGCTTTCTGATTTTTTTTTTAAGATACAATTTGTTAGCAGGTGCAAGCGAATTTAGTGAATTAAAAAAGTAAATTTTTGTTTGGACTTTGGTGTCAAATCTCAGCGGTTTCCGAATTACAGGAAAACAGTTTACATTAGATTATAATATTGCAGTAAATGATGTTGAAATGCAGTAAAACGATAGCACTGAGTCAGATTATAAGGAGAAAGGAAAAACGACAAAATTGTGAGAAACTTCATGTTTTGAATTTTGTATTGTCCGCAATTTTCCTTCCATCTTCACCAAAATTTTTATTTTTGGATCTGTTTTATTTCCACATTGTTCATTAAAAAGCATTCTTTTTTGTATGTATGTTTATTCGAGATAAAATTTTGAAAGCTTCAATTCAAGTAACATTTTTGTGGGGTCGAGATCCGCTTAAAGTTGCATTTAAGTCACATATGAACCTAGTAATTGTTCTCATTCATATTATTGGGTTGATTAGTACATCTGTTCTTTCATTTAATATAACATGTTATTTTATTCTGGGAATATGTAACATGTATACATACATATGTATGGTAAATTTTGAACTTTTTGCTTGATTTATATTATATGTTTAAACAATTATAAACACAATGTTTATCAATTTGTCTATGTTATTGTCCTTATTGTCCTGTTGGCTATTGAGTATCCTTGTTTCAAAATTGCTGATTTTAAAATCTATAACATATCACTATGCCTGTTTGGTATAAAGCGTTGATTAACGCAACAGTTTATTTGATAATATAATTCTAAAAAGTTAATTTCAGTAGCTCATGTTTATATTCCAAGTGTAAAATTATCAAATCCTTGACTTTTAAAATACATACACACATACTTAGGAAACTATTGTATATCAACAAAAAAATCAAGTTAACTTAATATTAGATTTAAAAGTAAATAGGTTTGGCTATGAAATTTACAAGAAGTAGAAATAATGTTTTTGTAAAAAAAATTTATTGCTTTTTATTTAGAATTAGGTACCTACAACATAAATATCATTGTGTTCAAAATTTTTGACTGATTAAATTCTAATCTCTTGTAAACAGGCGTAATCATAAGATATAAATCAATTGTCACAAAGCCAATTTTGAAAAATATTCTGTTTTTCACAGTATCATTTAAAGATTCGTCACTTTTTTTAAAGATAATCGGCTTCAACTGTAAAAAAATTATTTCTAATTCACCTAATTTGAACTTGTTGCCTGCAGTTAGGACAAAAACTTTTAACTTTCAGCCATTTTTGAATGCATTCCGAATGGAAACTGTGGCCACAATTCAAATAAGTTTTTTCTCGTTCTCTAATATCGGACATGCATATTGAACATCGGCCACTTGTATCGCTAAAAAGGTTTAATTTAAAAAAATTAACCAATAACAATATTAAAATCAAATTCTTTACTTACACTACAAAAGTTCTGTTTGAATTACTAGATTCACTATAAGAATAAGATGATTGAGAACGCCTTTCAATACCAAAGTAGGAATATAAAGCTACACAAACAGCAACCGCAATGGGAACCTTAAATTTTCAAAGATGGGAATCCAAATAGAAAATTTTAATAAATTTTCAAGCACCATAAATAAAGCACATGGGCATATAGAAAAATTACCAAATTGTGATTTTATTTGAAAAAATTATATAATTTTATTCCATCACCTTTAATTTTAAAAATATTGAATTATATACCTATTGTCTTTAAAAAAATTCGCGTACATAATATGTATAAATGTATGTACATGCATATATTAATATTATGTACATACGTACATATATACATATTCATATTAAAAATGATAAATTTTAATAGCACTATTTGCACATTTTCGCTAACTAAATATGGTGCCCGATATTTGTTATGTATTTAAAAAACTATATAGCCATTTAATTTCATTTATGTTGTTGAAATTTTATTTTAATAAAAATTTTCTTACAGCATAAAAAATTGGATGTGTCATTATAATTTTTCACTTTAAACACAGTCGATCAAAAAATTAATCCTTTTCATAAAAATTTTAATTAATTTTAGATGCAAGTGTTTTTAAAAAAATTGAAATGTATTGTATGTTTTTTCTTATTTTGCGCTTAAGAAAATTAACAGCTAAGGATCAACAGTAGGATTTTTGTTTTATTGCAAATTAAAAATGAAAATATTGTAAATTGTATCTTCAAACAAACACACAAAATGATTAAGCCTTAACCGAAATTGACTTGACATTAGAAAATTTGAGCGAGTATAAAATTTGAAAGCAAAAACTTTGACGTCAATCACCTTCAATTTTAAGCAAAAAATATTCATGAGCAAAAAATAGTAAATCAAAATAAATCTTTCGCGGACCAAACCTTGCACATGGTCTATTGAAAATCTCTATGTAGTAGTAAAGGAGTACTTTTAAGATAAATGTTTTTTTTTTTTAAATTAATGCTTGTTTCTGTTACTCTTTATTTTAAGCTCACATTTCAATAAAAATGGGACTCAATATGTTCTATTTTTTCAAATAATTTGCTTCCTTTTTTAATATCGCCATATAATCTTTCACCAACTGGAGTTGTTAAGATTAACGTGGTGAGAAGACTCATTTTTTTTAATTCCATTTTTCGAAAAGAAAAATTGATGCTTTGGAATGTCATGTAGTTTTGGCAATCCATTATTTGAGTAAAATAATATATCAACGAAATTTATTATAATATATATTCATATAACATTCTTTCTTAATGAAAGAAAAAAAACAAACATTTAAAATTATATTGTTATTATATGGTTTAGTTTATTTAAAGTTTTTTCGAACTTTTGGTAAAGAAATATTGCATTTAATTGAAATTATTACAATAACTACTTTAAGGTACTACTACAATATAGGACAGCAAGGTAAAGATAGACTCTACTGCCAGTATATTAATCTAGTATGTCTAAAGCTGTATTTATACGATGGTTTTTGCACTGATAGGCGGCAAAACTTTGTTTCGCGTTTTTCGTGTTTTGGTATTTTCGATTAAAATTCAAAAACGCTCCTCTTTATGTTCTTGTTTTGTGACAGATAACAAATATGTCTTTTTTTATTGTTTTATTTAAAAACGACGCACTCAATTCATATGTAGTTGTTGTGTTTTTATCAACAATGTTACAGCAAGTACAAATAATTTGCATTCGTTTTCAAATTTAGAAAAACATAAGTTGGGATAAACAGATTATGTAAAATAATATAGTCTTTTAGAAATTGGAATTGATTAAAATGACTAGGAAAAGGGCTTGTATAGTTGTTTTGGGTGATATTGGACGCAGCCCTCGAATGCAGTATCACGCTCAAAGTTTACTGCAAGAAAATTTCAATGTAGAAATTATAGGATATTCTGAGACACAAATCCTAGATTGTTTATCATCTTCAACAAATCAAGTTAAAATTCATGGACTAACACAATTTCCAGAGATAAATTTACCATCAACATTAAAATATTTTTTTAAAAGTATTTGGCAATCCCTAAGTTTATTAATTGCCTTGATCTCAATTACCCGACCAAACTTTATACTAGTACAAAACCCACCTGGCGTTCCAACTTTAGTAGTTGTATGGCTATATTGTACTCTTACTAGAACTCATTTTGTTATAGATTGGCATAATTACACTCATAGCATTTTAGCAATAGGTGTTCCAAGCAAAAACAATTTTACAATTCGTTTAGCGAAATGGATAGAAAGGAAATTCGGTGCAAAATCTTCAGCAAATTTTTGTGTAACAAAGGCTATGAAGGAGGATTTAAGGAAAAATTTTGAAATAAAGTAGGTAGATATTTACTCTTAAAATTTTTAACAAACATTTTAATCATCCATTTTTTAGTGCAACCGTATTATATGATCGAGCGCCTTTACAATTTCAACCTATTAGTTTGAAAGATAAGCACAAATTGTTTATGAAAATGTCGGAAAGTTACCCAGAGTTTTTAGCAAAAGATGGACGAGATTTTCAAGAATACGGTGTGCTAGAGTCGACCGCATTAACACAAAAATTTACGGATGGATCGATAACTTACAAAACAGATAGACCAGCAATTATTGTGTCTAGTACAAGCTGGACTCCTGACGAAGACTTTGGAGTTTTACTTGAAGCACTCGAAGGTGAAATTAAATTAGTAATTTAACATAAACTATAATTCAATTTCTTCAACTACATGCATATGTATTTTTTTTCCTAAATTGCAGAATATGAAAATTCTACAAAATATTCCGCTGCTTTTCCTAAATTGCTTTGCATAATAACTGGCAAAGGACCACAAAAAGATTTTTATATTGAAAAAATATCGAAAATGTCCTTAAGTAAAATATCAATTATTACGCCTTGGCTAGAAATGGATGATTACCCGAAAGTGCTCGCATCTGCAGATTTAGGAATTTGTTTACACTGGAGCTCAAGTGGTTTAGATTTACCGATGAAAGTGGTTGACATGTTTGGTTGCGGCTTGCCAGTTTGCGCAATAAATTTTAATTGGTAAAAATTAAAAAATTTTCAAAAATTTGTTTAATTTTGTAATTTTTTTTTATAGTTTGAACGAATTAGTTGTTGACGGAGAAAACGGATTTATTTTTGAAAATTCAAAAGAACTTTCCGATCAATTAAAGATGTGGTTTGAAAAATTTCCAAATAATTTCAGTTTGATAAATACAAAAGAAATTTTTGTGAGAAACTTAAAGGAATTTCAATCGCTTCGTTGGAAAGAAAACTGGAAGCTTAACGCTTGGCCAGTGTTAAATTCACTTTCTGCAGACTAGAATATCAAATCTTGATTGAGCTCTTTGTGGTTATTTCATGGTGAAATATTGATTAGTATATTTAAATAGAATTTAATCGTGTTTTGTGCTATTCTTAAATTATGTACATAAATGAAATTTCAAATTTACCTTGTACTGGAATGCTTTGTAATAGATTTGCTTCACTTTTAAACATTTATAGAATTTAATTTAACGTTTTCAATTATAATTTCAGCAACCATGTTTTCTTAAAACACCGAACTTTTTGCACCGACTTTCTTTTGCACCGAAATGTCGGTATTTATTTCAAAAACATTTAATTATTGGAATTAATATTATGAGTTATGTATGTAGTTTTTGAATTACAGATTTTGTTCAGTTTTTCCTTTTCGTCTTATTAACTTTGTAATCTTATTGGGAGTGCTTTGATTTTCTATTAAAACAAATTTCTTAACCCGAATATAGGAGGTGGTGTTGGAGACTCGAATGTATTCTTGAAGTTGAATGATGAAATTATTAAATAAACCTAACATACAAAAAAATATGACATTTTCGTTTCTGTTATTTTGAGATTGGACCTTCTTACCAGCAAAAAGGTAGTGTTTTACCACCAACGTTTTTTTTACATTTTAATTAAATACATATTTCAATTTCCACGAAAATCGTATGACATATACATACATATTTTGTATTTGTATGTTTGCATTAGAGTTTAAAACTGCAACTTTATCAAATATTCATTTGCAAGATCATCTCGTTGTAATGAGAGATCACACTATTCTACTTCTCCATAAATATAATTGAATCACAAAAAAAAAAACCCTTAAACAAACAAGGTAACGTAATGGTCATTAACTATACAACTTAATCGTTCAACATGTTTAAAAGAAGTTTTTAAACACCTTTTTTGACCAATATGTTTTCAACAAGTTGAAGGAGTTGAATAGTGGACGAAGTTGAATAGTGGATAAATCAAATAATGAAGTTTCAACTGAAAGCAAGCAAGTGTTATATTTTTTATATATATATATTTATATAAAATTTACTTGCGTATTCGTAAAACATATGTACATATGTATAATGTGAAAACAATTCCTCTATATTTTTTATAAAATTGTGATGCTAATGTAGTGCATATTTTATTTTTGACAATAAACGATAACCCGAAAGCCTCTGAAAGAAATGGAAGTAATCAACACAAAAATGTCAACAGAGATTTCGCAGAGATATGCAGTTTCGTTAATTTATTTTTGTAACTAAAATTCAAAGAGTATTTCCAAATTTTTGGAATTTTATTAATTTAAAAATTATGAAATGCGTTTTTATAAATAATATAAAATAAAATATAGAAAAGTTTTATAAATTGTTCAATTCAGGGAAATTAATATAGATGAGTATATTATATATATAGAGTATACATACAGTATAAGTTAATATACAAGAGTTTTTCTAACGCTAAGTTCATCAGGAAAAAAGTAATTTGTAATTTCAAGCATATGATTATTAATACGAAGTAACTTTATTTGACAGATAAAAATTTGGTACCTATATATCGATTTGACTTGTATTCATTCGCTTTTATCAAGAAGTCCAAAATTTGGACGGGTGCAGTAGCCGCGTTTGGAAAAGAAATGAAAAAATTTGTAGACTTAATTATTTTTTTTTTCAATTTTAATGCAATGTTGTTCAGAATAATTAAAAGAAATTTATAAAAAATAATAAAATTTAAATTTAGTTACGTAATTCTGATGTAAGTGTCTATAATAAAAGGTGTTTTAGAAAGATAAAAAAAAAAATCAGTGAAAAAATGTCTTGTGTCTTCCTCAAATAGCGCTCCTACTACCCTAGCAAGAAAAATTAAAATATTATAGATATAAAAATTTTTAGAAAAATTTTTTTTGTGTGTTAAAATATTATTTGCCCAATGAAATTAAAAAAGGAATTCGATTTCACTTAAGACTTTGTTATATAAATAGACTATTAATTTATATTTTTGGAAAATGAAAAATAAAAAAGAAAATTTTTATTTTTTATGTACGACTAAGTTTTAAAAACAATTTAAAGACTCGTGCTTGTGAAAAACTGAACCTTTTCCCAATCAATTTAAAAAAATTTAAATTAATTTTTTTTATTTTTTATCTAAAAAGTTTAAATTAATGCCAGCCAGTTACAGAAAATAAAAATTATTAATGAAAATGATAATCATTTTTACAATTATTTTCGAAAATTTTCACCATAAGGCAGCAGACATCTTGGATCATTTTTTTTCGGTTTGTGAATGTGTTTGTGTTTATAATTTTTTAGCTTTTTTTTAAGTTGAATAATATATATACATGTGTAAACATATAATTAAATGAGTGATATATATATAGTATATAATATAATATGGAATATAATATGTACATATAAAAGTACATATGATTAAATATGTATATGCATCATAAAAATAAATATGTTGAAAAAATACAAACGCAAGTATGTAAGCAGCATAACAAAATAAAAAAAAAAATAGAAAACAAAAATAAAAAGTAAAGAAAAAAGTATTCTGTAATGTTACACCCGCGCCGCGCCTGTAGAAAGTTTGAAACTTCTACTACATTATATACAGTGGTGGTGAATGCGAAAAATATGAAGAGGTCAATTTTTAAAGAAAAATGTGGGTTTATATAATAATATTAATTTTTTTTTGTTGCATGATAATCAGATTTTAATGTTTAAAACAAAAATATTCTACACGTATTAATTTTGCTTGTTTTATTAAAAAAAATTTATGTATATATATATATGTGCGTATACAAAAACAACTATAATATTTATTGTTTACAATATACATATATCTTTAAAGTAAAAAACAATAATAAAAATTACAAAATTTTGTATTTATCATTTTTCCTTTCTATCAAATCCCTATTGTAATCATTTTAAATTTTTCAATCATTTTATATATTATTTTATATTAAATATTCATTTTTAGAATTAAATAGCTACCTGCTTATCTATCTATATACATTTGGATATGTAACAATGCAGTAAGAAAAAATATATAATCTAAACATGTTTTGTGAAGATGATTTCAGTCTTAATAAGAATCTGTACCTGTAAATGTGAAATCAATATTTATTTTTGCATTACTTATTTATATATACATATGTTTTTTGTTTTAAGTTTTAATTTTATATAAATGAATAATAAATCTTTATTTAAGCGTGAAAAAAGTGTAAGTAAAAATGATTTATATATTGTCATATTCATTATTTATTACGCCTAATATATTCACGTATGTATATATATGTACGTATTTGCAAAGAACATTCAAACAACCAAAAATTTATAATTTAATTTAATTTTTCAAATATTAAAATTGAAATTCATTAAGTAAAGTATATAGGTAGCTTCATCCTCACATTTAGGTAAATAATGTAAGTATTAATATTTTTGTAATTTGATCCATATACATATAAAAAGTGTTATGAAAATTTGTTTATTCCAATATGTCCAAAATATTCATACGATATTGATTATTTTTAGGCTGGTTATTTTAGAATAGTTGAAAACGTTTGTATCCTATTTAACAATTGAATTTGAAAAAAGAATGAAGAATCTATCTACTTAAAGATGAGAGGAGAAAATTATACCTAGTTATTATGTACCTATATTATTCTTACGAAAAATAAAACTGCTATATGTATTTGATTTTATAATTTTAATTTTTATTTAATTCCTATTCTAATACCACTTATCAGTTTTTTTTTTCTATGTTACAATGTTTTTGCTATGCAAAAGTGTCTTTAATAACGCACATATCATGTGCATACATTAGTTTTTCGATCTTGTTTTGTTGTGGAAAATGAAAGCAAAAATTAAGTCCCTAAAGTTTTTTCCCAATTCTGAAACTACTAGAAGAAATTCAAATATGTAAATTTTAAGTAGAAGTAATTATTTTTAATATAAATTTAACATTTTTTATTATTTTAATTAAATTTTTAAAATTCAACAAAACTTTAACTAATATATTAATACTCGTAATATGAAGCTATCCAGGTAAGTTGTCCGTAGGCCATATGTATCTATATTCGGATTTGCATCATTGATCAAATGAATTAATTAAGTAAAAAAAAAATTTTTGTTTTAAATTGGAGTCTTAAAGATGAACTGCCTTAAAATATTTTGTTCTAATTAGTGGTAGATACAAGTACTTCGGTAAATTTATGCGGTTTGCAGCATCGTATTAATTTCAAACTGATTTTTAATAATTTACTTAGTTTACAAGAACATTTTTATGCGATATATGATTTCTTTGCGTCTAATACTAAAAACCTCATTCCAACATTTTTGTAGAATAAATTATTATTTTATTCTTAATAAAACTTTATTCTTAATAAAAACTGCTTAATCTAGATTTCAATAAACAAAATTGAAATTTGAGAAGGTTTAATGTTTTTTTATTGTCATGTTTGTTCGTATCACAAGAGAGTAAGTTATTGTGTGTTTTTCTGAAACATAACACATTTTGGATTCCTTAGGTTTTAATAGATGTCTTTCTTCCAATATAGTCACCATTTATATAAGAAATTTTCATTGGTATATATAAACATAATGAAATTCTGTTGATTTGAACCTCCAAACAAAGTTTTGTTTTTTCATTCATAAAACGAGGATAAAGTTGATACTTAAAGCGAAACATAAAATGAATTAGACATAAAATAAAAACAACAACTTTGTTAATTAATACAATTACTAAGGCATAAAGACTATATATTACGCCTACCCCAAATATTATAGAAACATATTCATTTTCTATAAACAAAAACAGTTATAAATAACATATATCATGTACGGCAAACCCTAAGGTTAAGTCTTAACTTTAAGGTTAAGTCTGCGATGAATTGTGATAAAACCCAAATAGGTCACAAAATTAGGAAATTGTGCTTGGAATATGTACAGATTATGTCAATGTATGTAAACAATGATGAACACACTAAATTTTGGCTCATACGTATTTGTTATGTGAGTTATAATTTTGTTATGTGAGTTATAGTATACATATTTTATATACGTACAAATATGTCTATTATACGAGTACATTATTGTAAAACGCATTAATTTTTAACAGCACGTTATTCATTCAAAGTAATTAAATCAAAATAAATTTGCTGGAAGCTAAAATTCTTCACAATATTCATCACAATCATAATTCTTTTTTAATTTTAAATTTGAAAATTCTGTGAAGCAGGAACGAATTGCGTGAAACAGGTGTACATGTTTGGTTCAAATTTCATATTAAGATACTATTTTATTTTGGTTGCACTCAACGTAATATTTTTGTTACTAATTTATTTTCATCGCCTTTAATATTACTATGTGATATTCATCTATATATACATAGACAACAGTATAATATAGGATGCAATACATGCCTAGAAAAATCTTCACTTTATGATCTTATCACATGTTAGTTCTTCAGTTTTCTAATGTTTTATAGTATTGGATGTGTACTGTAAAACTTCGTGTATGTATAGTTTCATTATTTATATACATATACATATGTTTAAATATAAGTGTGTATATCACTTATATTCTTTTAATTGTCTTTCGTTTTTTATTTTTAGTTTAAAGTTTTTATTTATAAAAAAAAGTGAAAAATAAAATTTTTATATTTATTTCTCTATCAACTTAAAAATATTTTTAACCGATTGTGTTTATGTATACGTTTAAATCAACTGTCTCTAAAGTTCATTCAACTGTCAAAAATTAAGAATTATACTTGTATATGATGAATTTTGTATACCTTCGTATAACAAAAAAAAAGTTATTTCGCGTTTTCATACACAGTTACAATTACGTGATCTTGACCGCAAGTTATTTTTAAATTTGAAAACATATTAGGAATTGGGAAGACATACGAAATGTGATTTTGTTATCTACTTTATTTTGATTATTACTTTAGTTGATACATAGGTATCTACTCGTATTAGTACAATTTTAGTGCATTGTTGTAATTTACATTAAAATAGTTTCAATATTTAGAGTATAATATTTAATAAAAAAAAATAGTAAATATTATACATAAAATAAATATTCAACACAAAAAATTAACAGAAATATTCTTTTAGGTGGTAAACTTCTGTTTTTAATAAAGGTGCACATTTTTGAGATTACCAGTTGAGCTAATTAAAAGATAAGAACAAAATTACTTAACTATGCTCCTAAGAGTGAAGAAGGAAAAAATTTGCAATTAATTTTTAAAAAATTACAAAATGCTTGATTGCTTAATTGCAATCATACAGTTGCATGTATGCACGCTTAACTATGAACTGGTGGAATATAAGTAGGCTATTGAATACAGTCACAAAACAACAAATTTTCAGTTGATGCAGCTTATTAAATAAGGAATTTTAAAAATTTTTATGTTTCGTTTTTCATTGCCAGCAAAAAGAATAAATAGGCTTGCATTCTCGGGTTCGGTATGGCAAGATTATTAGTAAAGAGAGGCAAGATCAAAATTTCTTTCGTTTTAAATCAGAATAAATAGATAGATGGTTTTTTGTTATAAAATATACTAAGAGTAGTGGATTTGAGACCATTTTATAGTATTTTTCAAATCGCTTGAATGCAAAAAACAGAGAAATTTTCGTTTGTGAAATTCTTGAAACATTTTTTCGAAGGAACAAATTTATAACACAGATTTAATGCTTATACTACTTACATATTTATATTATGTTTGTAACGTATATGTATACATAAAACTCTTTAATGGACTATAGGTATTTAAAACAGAAAGACTTTTCTTTTATAACTGAAAAGTTTTAAAAAAATAATTAATAAAAATGAATACGAATATTTGAAAATAAGTATAATGATTTAATTTTGTACATATACGTACTTGTATTTGAAAGTATGTAATTTATTTTTTATATATATATATTTTCCTGAATGTTTAAAAAATATTTTATATTAATAAATAAATTCTTGAAATTCTTAAAAAAGTATGTAATTCCATATACAATGTATTTATGTGTTTGCTTGTATTCTTATATCGAAAAATTTAAATAATTTTACATATTTATGTAAGTAAAAATATTCATGTGGTATTGTATATACAAATGTATATGCATATTATTATATACAGAAATTTGGTTTTATTTACGTAAGAAACATAATTGATGTAAATACATATACTCGTGTATGTATAATTGAGTTTATTTCGTACGTATGTACATATATAATTTGCATATTTGTAACTTACACTTTTGTAAAAACTAAAGAGACT